TCATGTGTCGGTTTATTAGTCTATTATTTAAACAAATTTTAATTAAACTATCAGGTGGAATAAAGGTCCTAGACATATCAATTTGGAACATTCTTAATACCAAACTCTAGCCTTCTTTCTCTCAAAAAATTCTCCTAGAGTCGTTTTCACTTTAAGGGGGGAGAAAACTACTATTCTTCCTCCCCTCTCCCCTCTTCTTCCCTCATTTTTAGAGATAAAAAGTTTTCCCTATCTATCTTCTTTTTGTTATGATTTTCATTCAACCATCACAGGCGACTCCAACCATCACACATTGACAACACATATTGGGTGACGTGGAGTACATATGGATGTTGGATTTTAACATGTGGGCTAACCTAGCTCTGATACCATGAAGGAAGTTGACGTTCAACATATAAACCAATTGGCAATGTGGGGAGTGAACCAACTCCTTATAAGCCCTTGATAGGTTTCTCAACTTTTCAATGTGGGACTCTTTACCTTTACATTCTCACAGAGGCGCACCAGATTCCACTTCGTTATTGTATTGGCACTTGGCTAGTGGATTTTTCAGTTGAATTATAAATACAATCATATAATTTCTTTATTAAAAAAATGACGTATCAATTTGGAGGGTTTTTTTTAATAAAAAAACTTCAATCTTCTTACGTGCATAAAGGTCCTAAACGAAAGAAACCCTACCCACTCTCTCCCTCTGTGAATCCTAAAGGAAAACTCCATAGAGGGGGGAGGAGGAAGAAGCGTCACTGTCCCTCCTCCTCCTCCTCCTCTCTTATCGTCTTTTCCTTTTAGGTTAGTGAATAAGTTCACTGGGACGTTTTGAAAAGAAAAAAAAAACTCATTGTGGTGGTTTCTTTTGAGCCATAGTTAGATTGAAGTTCTTCATCACCCCTTTTACTCTATGTTCTCAAATCAAATCCTGCTCCCAAAACCCGCTCCCTGACGTCGCTCATGTTCTATAAATTTGATTATACATCGTCTTTGACGAAAATTGCTGCAAATCACCCAATTGTTCTTTGGTAAAATTGTTGTTTTCGTTTATTTGTTCGCTCTTATGCGCAGGTAGATTGTTGGAAATCGTACTCATGAGTTATTTTAGGGTTTTGGTTGTGTTGGGTTTATAGGCTTATGGTTAATTGTGATGATGTTGGCTAGTATTTTAGTGTGGCTTTTGTCCACGTTAGTTGTGTTTTTAACATGTTAATTTGTTGCCCTCTTGAGATTGGTATTTTAGATGTCTTGTTGACGTCTTTGATTGCACCGTTAAAATTTATCTAATTAAATTTCTATTTGATAAATAAATAAATAAAAATCCTAAACGAAATTTTATCATTGTTGTTAGATTTCTTTTGTATTTCTAGTCCTTTTCCGAATTGTTGCTGTGTAACCTGGTCAATGCCATGTGGTGTTCTATCATTGCTGTACCAAGATATTTTATTTGTTTCCATTTTATGAAAGTGGTGGGTGTGAGTTGTGTTGTGACAATAACATTTTGGCCCTAAAGCATTTAATTAGAATTACGACTGACTGAAACCGCGTATAAACAATCAAATAATGACAAATAGTTTATGATGCGCATACGATACTGATGGTGTAGTATTAATATTTCGTGAACGCGTCTACAGTTATATAAATAATCAGTCACAAAGTTAGAAATTATAAAATTATTCAAACTTATGAATTCTTATCAACGGAGTCTAATATAGTGAAAATTAATCTTGATTTATAGATTAATTTGTAACACGTGTGTGAGAAACCCCTCTCATATTGTAATTTCGACTATCACTTACATTATATATGTATAATTTTTATAAATTATGTGTTACTCTTTTTTCGGTTCAGTGCTGCTATTTACATATCTACAAATTGATTGGTCAACCACGTGGTGTTTACTTTTTCGTTGATATTACAAACATGTGTTTACTCAAGGTATCGAGAGTCATGAAATTCAAACTCATTACTTTGAATGAAACAAAATGACAAGAAACTATCTAATTTGGTCTTCTTTGTGACTGTTGATGTATAAAAAGGAATTTACTATGTAATAGTAATTTCCACACGTCTATTGCTTGGAGTACAATATAAATTCAATATTTAATAAAGATGACACTCTCATTAGTTTATAAATAACCAATTAAGCATATATTAAGGGAGTTGTTATTGACACTTTTAGAAAGTCGTCATGCACTCTTTTCTAATGAAAAAAAAAAATAAGTGAATGACGAACACACTGTTTTAGAGTGCTAATAACAATTTCCTACATTAATACGTAATATAACGCGCTATGTAGTTATAGAAGCTCGTTTTTGAGAATTCAAGTACTGTAATATGTTCGATTTAGCAAACATTCCTATTTTTATAATCAAGTAACCATCAAACTAGTTAAATATATGTATTTTTTTTTTCGTTTGTTATGAGTTCATTGTACTTGTTTTGGGAATCAAATAAGGCACAAACCAGCTAAACATGCACTTTCTTATTTTGAGTTTTTTGACCAAGGATTGATTGTCTTCTTGTTAATGAAATGATCTTTTCATTAAAACAAACGCAAAAAATTGAAGATGAAGATAAACAAGGTAAGAACCAACTGCATAAGGACAATCCATGATAATAAAAAAATTTAAAATTTGTAGCGTCCAATTATATATATATTATTTTTAATATGGTGCATGACGTAGGTCCTAAGAGTGAGTGAGAATAATTATATTTTTATAACAAGAATAAAAAACAGAGGAGCTGGAAGACAGTTAAAACTTAAAATGGGGGTGAAATCGAAGGCAGGTGAGGGAGATCAAGGGGCGTGGACAAAGGACGTCATACGACGACGTTTCCAAGGGGAGGATCAAAAGATCCGCGACAGCATATTCCATTGTCATTTCTATGCAGCATGGCCTGCTGCTGCTCCGTACATGTTGACTTTCGTATTTTTAATATGTGAAATTACAAAAGTAAATTTAGGTTTTAGCCAAAAAAAAAATTTCACTTTTGAAAAAAACCAAAACTTTTTCAAAAAAGACAGAAAAACCTCTCAACTTTCAAATCAAAGACATGCAAATGTAAATGATTTCTTAGGAAATCCAAAAATAAATAAGGGCAATTTTGTCCATTTTGGCTTCTTTTACAAATTTTCTCTCTCCTTTGTGTTTTTCCAAAGTCTCCCCAGTTTGCACCTCTACAAAAGCTTCCCATGAGGTCCCTCAGATCAAAATCATCAATGCACATCTTGATGACCATGTCAACATATTATGAGATGTCTTAGTAGGAAAAAATAAATAAAAAATTGTAAGATGTTACATGTAAAAAATAATTATAAGATACTTATTACAGAAGCACAAATTATAAGGTATGATAATAGTAAAATTATATATGAAAAAAATTTTAGAATATCGCATTGTAAAAAAACAGTCCCGATCTCTTGCACCACAGGAGTCCAAGAGATTGTGGTCACCCACCCTTGGATATTAATCCAATTGTTCAAAAAAGTTTTTTAAAATGAATGCAAGAGTGAATGAACCGTTGAATATACATCAAACGGTAAGTGATTATAAATCTCTTAAACTACTGTAGTCCAAGAGATCAGGATTGTGTAAAAAAATATATAAACATGAAGAAGCGTTGTTATTTTGCCTACAATGCTAAAAGGATAATATTTTAAGATCATAAATATAGAATAAATTGTTTGATTGGCGAATGTCACTCGCTAATAGGACACCTGCCAGTTGCCAACCCTTTGTCCAAACGCTAATTGACACCCCCTTTTTATTGCTCGACAACTTAGTACTTATCCAGTTTTTTAACGCATCGTCCTATTTTGTATCTCATTTCTTCCTATATTTATCAATCTTTGTCAAACTCTCAAATGAATTATATTAATTTTGTGGTAAATAATCAAACTAAATTTTGTTAAAATTTAATGACTCCAACTTACAAAGTTAGACAAAAACAAGGGAAGAAAAATATGCCTTGATATCATATTTATGTTTTATAAGGAGAGGCGATTAGAAGTCCCTATTCATATATGTCGTCTAGTTTATAGGAAGAAAACCTAAGATTAAGGTGATTGTTTTTGACATATTAAGATTTAACACGGAATAAGCAGGTATAATATGGCCATTACTTAACATGAACACTATATGACAAGGCATGCTAACACAAATAATGAAAGGGTCAAATTAGTGTCAAACACAAGTAACCCCAATTTTCACTAAATAAACTAGTATTAGATGAAGAAAATAATATTTTTCACATTTCTTAATCTATATATATAAAGCAAAAGGCAGAGAATGATAAAATATTCAAAATACCAGAAAATGTCATTGGTTAATTCAAATATTAAGAATTGAAATTATTACTTAAATGAGGATAATATGGTAAATTCACATTTTTATATTAAAAAATTTAAAATTTAAAACAAATAAGATAATAGGTCATACTTTTCTAGAACATAACTACCCATATTATCTTTTCTTAATTCTAAAATTAAAATTAAAAAAAAAAAACCAATTGGCACATGCGTGACTAGTATGTATTATATAAGTAATTACAAGTTATAAGTTTGATTTTGAAAGGGCTTATAGCTAAAATAATTAACACCAACATTGTATAGGAAATTGATACAATGACCCCAACACAACCCACTAACAAAAGTATAACAAAAATATCAAAGATATTAATTTATTATACTAATTGAAGTAATGGATTTTTATTATTATTATTATGAATAAATAAGATTATGCTCAAATAAAAATTGATGAGGGAGTGTGCTTACTTTTACTTATATTAAACTAGTTTAGAATTAGAATATTAATTATTTTTTTATGGCTTGGTTTTTTAATGTTTTGTATTTTTTTGATTATTCTGAGTTTGTAATTTTAATTGGAATATCTATGTAAGAGTTTTTTCGATTTTAGTTAGTGAAGAGGCATCAAATTATCTTAATTTTGATGTTAAATGATTCCGTTATTGTAATGACTCTTTATAGTTAATTGTATTGATATTTTGTGACTAATAACTTTTTTAATTGAATTATAAATGCAAAACCCATAATATCTCAAAAAACAAAGAAGATGATTTGTTAAAAAAAATATTTATTAAAAAAAAAAAAACTATTCGATAAAGACGAGAATTTTAAACACTGGACCCCAAGCCGCTTCACCTTCAAGGAACCTAGTCAGAGTCAGCAGACAGAGAGAGAGAGAGAGAGAGAGAGAGAGAGAGAGGTTAGAGCCGAGGCTAGTGAGTATACTTGAGAAAAATGGAGCCCGCCATGGAATTGTTTAAGTAACTTCCCTGAATTTGATAGAAAATATACTGTAAGATAAAGTCAGAGTCTGTTTCTGCTCTACGATCATTCAAGATCAAGACAAGCAATCTCTTTTAGACGACCTAATAATATTTATAGAGACCTCAAGCATCACCTCCTTTGTGGTTTTCCGTTCATCTTTTTGCAAGCCCATCCTTTTCTCTCTGGTCCTTTTTTATTCACTTTATGCAGTGGAAAGTCTTGGAAAGCTGGAAACAGAGTCTGTTAGAGAGAGGGAGAAAGAGATAGCGAGGGAAAGTTGATTTTTTCTTTTCTGGGTGCGAGAGTTTGATGCTAGAGCCTTTTCAATTGGGGAAGATCAGTTTGTTAGATTGGGTGGCGATTTATTTGTTGAATCGGTTGAATTTGAGGTCTAGAGGGAAAAAGCTGGCTTGGGTTGGCTGAGATTTTGATAATTTTCTTTATTGAAGATGTGGGTTTTTAAGAGTTGAATTTGTTTTTCCTTCTAGATTTAATGTCTTGAGAAATCAAGTTGAATTGGGTAGAGTGCGATCTCGATAAATAGTTTTTCTAATTGAAGGGGGGCAAAAGTGAGTTGAATTTGGTAGTGTGAGTTGTAAAGAGAGAGCCTGGTGTGAGAATTTGATGATCAAGTTCTAAAAGAAATTCAGGAAAAACAGGGTTTTAGAGAAGAAATCATGTACTGTTTTGGAGAGAGATAGAGAGAGAGGATTTGATAGCTTGGTATGAGGTTTTGAGGTTTTGTCATGGCTGTAGTGAGTTCTATGCCTGCAATTCAACGTGTAGAGCGGGTAAGGTATCCTGTTATTTCTCCAAACATGGCTTATGGTGGAGAGATTGTGGAAGAGCCTGTGGCACGCATGATTGAAGATATGATATATGTTGCGGTGGCAAAAGATGTCAAAGACAGCAAATCAACTCTGGTATGGGCAGTCCATAACTCAGGAGGGAAGAAAATTTGCTTAGCTCATGTTCACCAGCCTTCACAGAATATTCCCTGCAGCAGTAAGTCTGCAACATATGTGTCTGTGTGTGTAGGAAATTTGCACAGTTCATGTTTGTTTTATGATGTTGTAATATGACTTTTGTAACTGAATTATTGAGTGTTTTGTATTGAAAATGAATTAGAATTACCCTGTGGACAATTTGTTCAACTCCCAGTTACTAACTGGATCATGCTTTGCCTCTATAGGACCATGGTTTTAGGATCTGATAGGCAGTATGAGCCATTCAATAAATTTGAATTCAGACTCAGACTCGTGAACCAGATAATATGTGGACAAACATTGAAGAAAAGTAGAGAAGTTTGTAAATACTTAGAAAACTCAGGAAAATTAGCCAATGAAATATTTTATGAATTTGGCTAGGTATCAAAGTCATTGTATTGTGTATCTGGAAAAGTTTACGATCTTACATTTAAGCTGAGATGTTCATATACCAAAGTTGCCATTCTGCCTTACCATCTCCGAGCTTCCGAATGGATTTAATATTCCACTGTTTCCATGATTTGCAGTAGGGGGGTGGTTCCCAGCTAGCTCACTGAAGGACGAGGAAGTCAGAGCATACCGAGAAATTGAGAGGCAAAACATGAATAAGATCCTGGAGGATTACCTTCGTATATGCCGTCAAATGGGGGTATTGTTCCTTCTTCGGTTTCTTCCTTTCTGTTCCTTTTTTATTTTTTGGGTTTTTGTAAAAACTTTCTTTTACAATACAAAGTAGTTTATCTAAAAATTTTGTGAATAACAAGATAACAGGATTTGAAGTTTTGAAATTTTTTATAAAATTTGCTAAGATTTCTGATATATTTGGCTGATGATTGTTTAATGTAGGTTCGGGCTGAAAAACTACATATTGTAACGGACTGTATTGAGAAGGGAATTGTGGAACTCATCTCTCAGCATGGAATAAGGAAGCTTGTAATGGGAGCAGCAGCAGACAAATACCATTCAAGGTATTACATAAGTATTCTTCTCATATGCCTGTTTATCATTTTTGTTTTTGGTTCTTTGTTCATCCAGCATATATACATGGGTCCTGACTGTGCATGCTGTAGGATACATTGTTAATTCAGTGAAGGCTAATAATCAGTCATGAAGGAGATCGGAAACAGTATTATAGTGGCACTTTGATAATTAATTGACTGAAAAATAAATGAAAAAGTATGGTAAAAAACGTGAGAAGGCACCAGCAATTATACAGAGACCTGTTTTTCATTGAAATGTCTTTCACTAATGCATCAAATAATTGGCTGGTTATTACATTCCAGTTCCCTTCCCAACGGACGTTTTTTTTATAATCTTTTTTGTGGCGTTCCCAATAGAAGAGGTTAGTTTTTATGCAGCTTTTGTCTGCGTGAAGGAGAATATTTAGTTTGTTACAAGTTAGTTATTCTCACTTCGGGGGGTTCATTTTGTGAGTATATCATATGCATCTTTTGCACTGAGGTTGCTTACTCACAGATTAATTTTGCAGGAAAATGATGGACCTCAAGTCGAAGAAAGCCATATACGTGCGCCAACATGCACCTGTTTCCTGTCACATACAATTTATTTGCAAGGGGCACCTTATACACACCAGGTTTTACTTGAACCTTCTTTGCAAATAAAATAGAAAAAGAAAAGAAAAAGGTTTTCTTGAAACTTCTGTTATTTCTTTATATAGGGAAGATATGTAAATGACTCCACAAAGAGAAAACTGTCTAAGCTTCAAAGTGATCATATGGTTTTTAATTGTTTAATAATGCTTTATTGGTGATCTGCTGTACAAACTTGATTTTGATAATCATGCCTACTAATGCATATACCATTAAAAAATAGGGAAGGTAATTCAGATGGAGTTGATACAGATGTTCCATTGCTGCAACCAAGTCCAAACACTGATCCTGAACTATCAACGCACCTCTTTAGATCAAGATCTGCTACACTCGGGCAGAATAATCGAGCAAAACTAACCAATCCAGCTCAAGATTTGTACCGCAGGGTAAGATCGGCAAATATGGAGAAACGTGGAGGGAGCATAAGTGAGGCTACTTCCTCAGATGGTACTGAAGGGCTTTCAACTCCAAGTAGGTTCGAAGCAGGAGGGAGTCCTGATGACTGGGATAGGGTATCAAGGAGGAGTGTTTCAGGATATTCATCATGCTCTTCTGCATTGGGTGATTTAGGTCTGGTTCAGTATGAGAGAACTGAGGGAAGTGAAAATGGGTCAACTGAGTCACATGCACCTTCTCATTTCAAAGAACTTAATTATTCATCCCCTCCCAGTGTATTGGTAAGTGAAAAAATATCATGTGTGCGGTTTGGATAATTATTTCATGAACCTTCTGCATGTTTTACGTTGTGAATTTAGACTTTGAAATTATTAATTAGCACTTCACCTGCCACCTTAGCAGAAATCAACTGAGTCAATTCAGATGCCAAATTATTTGAAAAGGTTTGAATTTAAATCCCTTGATGGTGCAGGATGGAAATATAGATGATAGTCTGTATGATCATCTTGAACAAGCAATGGCAGAGGCTGAAAATGCAAAGCGAGAGGCATTTCAGGAGAGAATCAGGCGTGGGAAAGCTGAAAAGGATGCCATTGACGCCATACGGAGGGTAAAGTTTTTTTCTAGTTGGCATTTCATTTTACCTTCTCCATTTATGGAGATGATATCTTTCATTTTTCCTCTCGTCTTTTCTCCAGTACTTTCCGTACACAGTGTAGATAGTAATTTGTTTATTTACCATCATATTACTTGATCATCTAAGATGAACAAGATCATTTGCATGGAAATTATTAACTTCCTTGTTGTGAATCCTGTTCTTCTACGGTGGTGAATCTTAGAGGTGGGGGTTTGGTAATATGTAATTTGAGATTTTTTTAGTAAACATACTACTATAATATTTGCTCTCACTGAGGCGAAAACTCCATAAACAAAAAATTGGGAATCACTCCATTTACAGGCTAAAGCATCAGAGCTCTTATATAATGAGGAGTTGAGACAAAGGAAAGAAATTGAAGAAGCACTAGCAAGAGAGAGAGAAGAACTCAAAAAGATGAAGAAGCAACGAGATGAAGTCATGGAAGAATTAAGGGCTGCCCTAGATCAGAAGTCACTACTTGAGAGCCAAATTGTCGAGTCTGATCAGATGGCCGTGAGGTTGGAGCAGAAGATAATCTCAGCTGTGGAACTTTTACAAAATTACAAAAAAGAACGGGATGAGTTGCATGTGGAGCGTGACAATGCGCTTAGAGAAGCTGAGGAGCTGAGGAGAAAACAAGGAGAGGCCTCAAGCTCACACTTGCCTCAGTTCTTCACTGAGTTCTCATTTACGGAGATTGAGGAAGCAACTCGAAACTTTGATCCATCACTGAAGATTGGAGAAGGGGGATATGGGAGCATTTTTAAAGGCTCATTACGTCACACCCAGGTGGCTATAAAGTTGCTACACGCTCACAGCATGCAAGGTCCTTCTGAGTTCCAGCAAGAGGTAGGATAACCTAATCATCGTTTACACTAACAATCCGTTGATTCATAGAAGCATTGAGCTTACAGAATTAATTTATTATGAGGGAGGTACATAGAACTAAAAACTAAAAACAATTTCGAATAGCTTCTAGTTTTTATTTCAAAAGTCAAATAAACTCTTATTATGCTTTTATTATGTTCGTACATGACACTTTACCAGCCTTTAAGTTCTGTGTTGGCATTGAGAAACTAAAAAGTGAGTATAAAGAAAGTTTTCTATGTGAAACCTTTTAAATTTTCCTGCCTTGCAGAAGCTGAAGTTTGCATTGTTTGCAATATTTTTAACTTAACCATTTTATTTGCAAACTAAAAAATTTGGGAAAAAAAAGCTGTTCCAGAAGAAATTTAATTCACATGTTTGTCATTTATCAAATTAGTTTTTGCATCTCAGGTGGATGTATTGAGTAAGTTGAGGCACTCCAATCTTGTCACACTCATTGGTGCCTGTCCCGAATCTTGGACTCTCATTTATGAGTATCTTCCAAATGGAAGCCTTGAAGATCGACTCAGCTGCAAGGAAAATACTCCTCCATTGTCATGGCAAACTCGAATACGCATTGCCACAGAGTTGTGCTCTGTCCTTATCTTTCTCCATGCCAGTAAACCTCATGGCATAGTACATGGTGATTTGAAACCTGCGAATATTCTCCTTGATGATAACTTTGTTAGCAAACTTAGTGACTTTGGAATCAGTCGGCTATTGTCTCGTGGGGAGGGTTCAAGCAACAATACAACACTCTATTGCAGAACTGACCCAAAGGGAACTTTTGCATACATAGATCCTGAGTTCCTCTCATCAGGAGAGCTTACACCAAAGTCAGATGTTTATTCATTTGGGATTATACTACTACGACTGCTGACTGGGAGACCAGCTTTGGGGATAATGAAGGAAGTGCAATATGCATTAGATTCGGGAAAGTTGGAAACGCTATTGGATCCTTTGGCTGGAGACTGGCCATTTGTTCAGGCTGAACAGTTAGCTCGCTTGGCAATGAGGTGTTGTGAGATGAGCCGGAAGTGCAGGGCAGACCTTGTATCGGATGTCTGGAGGGTACTTGAACCTATGAGGGCTTCATGTGGATGCTCATCGTCATTCCGTCTGGGTACTGAAGAGCATTTCCAACCTCCTTCCTATTTTATTTGTCCCATTTTCCAGGTAAATTTTGTTCCTCATTTATTGTATATCTTGAATTGACATTTCCATGGTCACCACATTCTCCATTGACGGATACTTGATGTGTACTGGTTTTTCTGTGTCGCAAGCACTCGCACTTTATCGATCTAATATAGCTTCATATATGTTTTTGTTCATATGAAGATTTTCTTTATGCCAAGGTCTGCTTTACTCATTTTTTTTTTTGGTCGAATGCTTTACCCAATTGAAAGTGCCTTAAAATAAAAGTTCCTCTTATTTTCAAACTTGCAGGAAGTCATGCAAGATCCGCATGTTGCGGCAGACGGATTTACTTATGAAGCAGAAGCTTTGAGAGGATGGCTGGACAGTGGTCATGATACTTCACCCATGACAAATCTTAATCTTGAACACAAGAATCTTGTTCCCAACCATGCTCTTCGTTCTGCAATTCAGGAGTGGCTGCAAAAGCATTGATATCTTTGTCCAATTGTTTGGATATTTTTGTTCCACATAGCTATGTATAACTACATACATATATTTTCACACCCATGTATAATGTACCAAATTAGATTTCTTCTGTTTCTGATATGTTGGTTTCTTCCTTGGACCTTAGAGTGTGTGGCCATTCAGACAAACTACGTGTTTACATGCCATATTAATGTACAGAAGACTTCCCTTATTCGCTCCAACTTGTTTTTCATGCTTCTTTGAATGGTTTACCCGTGCTTGATAAAGTATGCTTGACATTGATGATGAAATATACTGCAAGATGATGATGATCTTTCGATGATTGATTCTTGAATTACATGATGAAACCTTGGAAATATCACGAATCCCTCTCTACTTTAAAACATTGGTAGGAATGATAAATATGAAGAGCTTTTCTAGGGACAATAGCTACGCGCTTATTGGTGACTATCAACTATCCATGGTTGTGGGTTCCATGCTTAGCATGAAAAACAAAATCCAATGGTTCAATTCAGAGCAAAGGTCCATTCGGCTAAAACCCATCAGACGCTTAGACTACCATCGGCTGTTACTGAGTGTGTCTCCACCGTCGGATTCATGCTCATCTACAACTGACAGTCGCCCACTGTCTTTGCTCTAGACATGAACAACCAAATCAAATGGGTCAATTCAGAGTACAGGCCCATTGGGCTAGAGCCCATCTGATCATGATGCAGTTAAAACTTCAGTTGGGCCCCACACATGTGACTGAGGTTACTCCAACCGCCCGTGTGATTCCTCCATTAAGTACGGTTGCATGTGTGGATAGCTGACCACAGAAAAGTGCATCCATGTGAGGGCCCTACTTTGTGGCTTTACCGTATGGTTAACGAAACTCAGTGCTCCTGTGAGCTGAAGCCCACGTAACTCCACACGTGTTCCCATGCCATTGGGTTGGATAACCAAAGGACAAAAGGAATAAAATTGTTTGGCTGACTATGATCACATGCCCCCTTATATCCTGACACGTCTCTCTCTTCGCGTGAGCTTGCAGGTAGGTGATCATAAGGGGGGTAATAATTTATTCAGCCGTCTATGTCTGTACGGTCCATACGGAAGCTTCAAACCTGTTCGGGCAGTAGCCGGTAACCTGTAAAGAAAAGTTCAGATGCTGTCCCACGCGCTTTTCCAGTCTTTCAAATTTCGAGCTCCCGTAAAGTCATTCTTTTTTTTTTTTTGGAAACTCCCTATAAAGCTTCCCTAAAGTCAGGTGTGAATGTGTGTGATTTGGATTTAAAATTTTGCCAAAATTATGGGTATGACATTACATTTTTTGTTACTTTTGGTGTTTACATGGAGAAAGATTTTCTTGTTAAAACAAGTATAATGCTATATTTGTAAGGCTTCTTTAAAAGGGTAATTTTCTATTTCCGTATTTATGATGTCAAAAATGTGCGTTGTCTCTTTGAGAATTTCAAAAAGAAAAAAAAAAGACTTTAATGACATGTGACAAGATGAGTGAAAAGCATAACATGTGTTACAATATTATATTTATGATTTTAATTATGTAGTAAATAGTATGTTTTAATTGTAAAGCCTCCTCATGTGCCAAATAAGTCCCCACCTAAGTTTTCCTCATGACTTTAAATCACATGTTTATATATATAACAAAATCAACTTAATCAATAAGTCATTCGTATTTGGTACCATAAGATAAGATACTTATGTTGGCAGAGAGTTTGACAATAAAATATTTTTAATTTTAAAATTAAGAATGTCAAAGAAGTGCATACCACATGATGCGGTAAGTGATGTGTACATGTCATGTTAGTTAATAATTTTATCTAATTAAAGATTATATGCATCGCTTTTGACTTTATATTGTGGTATACAGATGTAGCCTTCCTTTATTATCTCATAAAACAAATGATTACTTGTTTTGAGAGTAAATAATGTGATATACTTATTTTGTTCGGTTAAAAAAACTTAATATAAACTAGAAGCTCTCAATTATAGATCATTTACAACAAATAACCATAAACTAACGCAATCCCAGTCAAAACATTAAATCCAGACTGACTGACCAGCCGACCTGACCTGACGACTTTTACTAAAAAAGTTCGCCCAATTTTTTATCGGACTTCTTTCTACTTTCAATCTCCACCAGAGTCTACAAATACTTACGCCAGTCCTCAAAAGGCACGTGCTCCACACGCGTTCAAGGTGCCGGTAAGTAAGTCCAACTTCTACACCGCAAGCGCAAAAAGCAAAGCCAGTTCAACGGTTACACAACGACAAAGCCACGGCCAAAACGACAACGCGCGAAAAGTAAAACGCAGAAGAAAGAAAAAGGAAAATGCACTCCGCGATATTTCTCTCCCTCCTTTTTCCCATTCATTCACATTTTTCATCATCATCTTCTTCCTCCACTTCTCGGTTGGCTCCTTTTTCCTCTCTGAAAACCCTAAACCCCCTTCTTCAATTCCTGGTTAATATATTTTTTTTTCTTTTTTGCTGTGAATAAATGGATTTACGGAGAGGCGTGTGGATAGTGGTTGGTGTGTTGTTGCTGAGTCTGAGTTTGAGCTCAGCTGGAGACATTGTTCACCATGATAATATTGCTCCGAAGAGGCCCGGTTGTGAAAACAACTTCGTTCTGGTAAATTCACTAACTTTTTGAATTTTGATTTTCCAAGTTAATTTACTTTGCAGCTTATTTATTTGATCTTGAGTTTCTGTTTGGGTGCTGAGAAAACTGGGGAAGGAAGAGATGAGTGAGGGGAAGGAAAAGATAGAATTTTTGCTTATGAAAAATTAAAATTCAATACTTTGTGATGATTTCGGGACTAAGAAGCTCAATCTTTTTGTTTAGTTATTGAGAAAATTGCTCTAAATTAATGAATAAGAAAATAATTGCGAATTTCCAACTGTTTGGCAGTTGGAAATGAGAATTTAGCATCAATTTGAGTGGCATGGTGATCCAGTACATGATGTAGACATTATTTAGGTAATTGGTTCTAAATAATGAAAAACTAAGCTGACAAATTTCATACTTTTGTTCTCTGAAGCTTGTTACACTTTTATGCAGTGCAGCCTATAAATCCCTAGTTCAGGAAAAAATTGTTCCTAGATTTAGTTTTTGGTTTTTATTTTGTAAGTCATTCTACGTTTTCTTCCTCGTATTTTCCTCGCATCTCTCAATTCTTTTCCCTTTCTCATCTTCCTCTCTCATCTGTCTGACTCTCCTTAATTTGAAAGGGAAAAAAAAACATAAACACTACCTGATGGGCAGTAAGACTTTAGGCAATACCTCTGAGTTATTAAAATTTCCATATTGTTTTATCTTGTTCTTTGTCTGGTTGCTAAGAAATTGGGCAAAATGATCATCTAGGTTCCTTGAAGATTATAAATTTCTACTTCAGTTAATCAAATAAAGTTTTATACCAGACTCGGTCAATCATAAAATGGAAAATTTATTTAAGCATGTGAAAACCTTTCATTTTGTTCATATTTAATAAAGAATTTTTCTATGCAATTATTATTTGTTTCAAATGCTTCCTGGAAAAGTCTTAATCTTCAATCAAACAATGAAGCATTTGAAGTTTTTTTCCCGGTGCTTCTTCTGAATGTCTTGTCTTGTGAAGTAATTTAATATCTTTTTCTTTAAATTTTTTTATTAAGCTTTGTTTAGTTGCCAGAAATACAGTAGCAAAATGAAAATCAGAGAATATATAACTGAAGAAAACTTATTATCTATTTCTCTCATTGTGGGATTCAATTAAGCTAATTATTTTATATAGTATATTGGAATACTTGAATTTGTTTTGTCTTTTTACCTAACACAGTTACTTGGCAGTTAAACATACCCTAAGATTGTATTGGAGGCATTGCACCTTGTTTTCTTCATTTTTTTCAACATAAATTTTGAATATAGCTTTGGCGTTACATTTAAATCCATTTTGTTTTATAGGTTAAGGTCCCAACTTGGGTCAATGGTGTAGAAGACAATGAGTATGTTGGTGTTGGTGCTCGATTTGGACCTACCTTGGAATCAAAGGAAAAACATGCCACCAATACGAGAGTGGTTCTTGCAGACCCCCCTGACTGTTGTAGCCCACAGAAGAAGGTATACTTGAACTTTCAATTCCATATCCTCAATTTACATTATAGAGTTTCACAGCCATGAAATATAAGCATCTTCATTATTGAAGTTGTAAGATATGCTCATGCATTTTGTGGATTCATATTGTGGAGTGTATGGCTCTTTTGTAGCTTTCACAAGAGGTCATTTTGGCGCACCGAGGAAATTGCAGTTTCACAGCGAAGGCAAATATTGCTGAAGGTGCTAATGCTTCAGCCATCCTCATTATAAACAACCGTACAGGTATTTGCATGCACTTTTTTCTTTTCTTGTTGGTCTACAAAGCTCTTCATCCCTAAAGTCCTCTTCTTAGTTTTCTCCCCGAGTAAGAATGTTCAGTACAACTGTACGGGTTATAAGGGGAAAAAAAACAGTAATAAGTACATAAAAAAATCTCTATTGTCATAATGGCTGCCCAGGTTATATAAATTTAAAAATTTTAAAAAAAATTATTTAAAAAAAAAACAGTGGTTAAGAAGATTGATTAAGTGAAAATAAGTTACTGTTACAAAAAATTATGCTGTCTGTCTTACAGAACTTTTCAAGATGGTTTGTGAAGACGATGAACCTGATGTTGAGATAGACATACCAGCTGTTATGCTTCCTCAAGATGTTGGTGCAATCTTAGAAAATGATTTAATGAACAAATTCAAAGGTATGTGTTTTCTTTTTTTTACTGCTTATATTAACAATTGGCCATGCACCACCATTACTCTGGATTATTTCTTGTTTAAAAAAATAATTTTCTTGCATGGAAATACATTATTTTATTCTTTCTAAGTGGTCTTCTTTTGCTTGTACTGTTGCCTCTGATATCCCTTTATTCAGTTTCTGTGCAGCTGTACTCTCCATTGCGTCCAGTGGTCGATATTGCAGAAGTGTTTTTGTGGCTTATGGCTGTTGGTACCATTATATTTGCTTCTTATTGGTCTGCATGGAGTGCCAGAGAAGCAGCTATTGAGCATGACAAGCTATTAAAGGTTATATTGTACTTTCAGCAGCTATTTTGTAACTTTTAGCAGTCATGGGGCTTGAATTATTTCTGTGTAATTCACTTATTCTATAATTTCTATATGGTTTGGTGCTATGTGCGCAGGATGC